TCAGCAAATATTTATCGATATCCAGCTGGATTAATCTGGCAGCACTTCACTTTCTGTATAGAGACCAATCAACTACAATGATGGGCATTGACTTAGTTGGCATTAAAATTGCAATCAACTCATCTTTACTGTTTTCAGATTAAAATCGATGTAAAATCTGAAGTTTTAACTGTTATAACATCATCCTTGTAGTGTGGTTATTTCCCATTTACACATTATTTTACTAGAGACGAAGAGATATTATAAACAAAAGATACTGGTAAAGAAAAGTTTGTGTCATTCAAGATATATAGAGGATATTACATGGGCGCGCCGGGAGATACGGATTTTATCTTTGAGTGTTGAAAAGACCTCAGAGATTAAACGAGAAGATAAAATTCGTATCTCCAAGCGAACATGTAATATTCTGTTTATCATATAATTACAAATAAAAGCAAATTATGTCGTAAAATATCTTTTTTCTCTAGGTCCACAATATAGAGAAACCTCGAATGTGTTATTTTCATTAGTGAAAATATCAATTTGACGACGGAAATATAGGTATTTCATACGGATGATTAATGAAAATATCAATTTTACGGAATAGAGAAATATAGGTATTTCATAGATAAGTTTTACTATATAATACATAAACAAAAATATCCGAGCCGATATATAAAACGACAGAATATATAGGCAGCTGGATTAATCTCGCAGCAATTCACTTTCTGTATAGAGACCAATCAACAACGATGATTCCTAGAAGGGAAAAATCCAAAGTACGTACCGTTCTGGATCAGCAAAGATTTCAACCAAATCAATGCCAGGATGATTTTCCTTATATGGTGAAATGTCAAAAATATATCACTTATAAACTTGACGATGCATTTTCCATTGATTGATTGCCATTGATTGATTGATAGCTTTGTTTCTGATCTAGATCGAACGGGATTTTTTTCCGTCTGAGCTAAAAATTCACATGACAATTCGTTCAACGAAAGAGGGGCAACAGACTCTAAAAGGGATCATTTGACGTAGAGTCAGTGGTGACAGATACAACTAACCTTGTATTTTGGAAGTTATTTTGTATTGGAAGATATGGTATCCATTCTTTTCTGTAATTGTGACTTTCCGTTGTAGTAAGGCGGGATGCAATTCAACAAATTACTACTTCTGATGCAGATATGTAGGAGTGATTTCGTTGTCGAGGCGCAGAGATAATTTTCCACTAAGTAATTTATTAGAAACTAGACGCATAACTGCGTAAACTCGGGGTTCTTGTTGATAAAATAGTAGTGAATTTGGTAAGGCTCGTTTACACTTGCGTGTTTGCTATATATTTACTACATAATTCGCTTTTGATAAGATGGGGAGCTAGTTTGATAGACAATTCATGATATGTAGTAATATAAATATCACAATTTAAATAACTTAAAAGTCATTTAGAGAAATTAAAAAAATAACTGTGTCTACGCCAACTTCGTATTATTAAAAGAACATGAACAAATATCAAGACAATAACAACAATCTTATTATGTCATTTTACATGTAAGACAAAATTAAGATAAACCTCTTTTGACAGATTCGATGATAAACAACCCATCTTAGCTTTCTACTTTTGTTATGTAAGCGTCTTAGAAATCGTTTTGGTATCCTACTAGGGCTCTCGACTACGACTACAACGTACATGTCGATAATTATAATAAACAAACCTTGAATAACGAGATCTTGTAGTACTTGTAATGTTTATTGTAACTTCTGCATCATTGTATACACCATAAACACTGTCATACAAATAGTTTTATCTAAGATATCACAATCACTAAACGATGAAGTGACAATATTTTGAGTGTAGTTATCGAAGAATTGGACTGTATTGAACCCTAATAAAGTTAATATCAATACTATCATAAGGGTAAAGCAAAAAATATTTCCTTGAATGAAAAATAATAACAGAAGCAATGTAGTTAGCATTAAGGAAGAATTGATAGTCTTTGTCAAGCTCTCCTCACTTTGATAGTCACGTGGCAGGCTATAAAGACAGAGTCTTTTATCCTCTCTGCTAAATAAAATAGTTGCAATCGTCGGTTTTTCCTCAGTGAATTCTGTTCGCATTCTTAGAGAAGTCCTTTGTATTTTCAGAGCCTGTAGAATCAGTTAATAGTATAGAGTTCGCTTTTGATAAGATTGGTTCGAATTTCACGATAAGTTTCACGATAAATTTCAAGATAAATTCACGGTATCTCTCAAAATGCCCTTTCGAAAAACGCTCGACATCTTTTAGTGTGGCTATACGGCGAATGGTGTGTGGATTTGTAAGAGATTTGAGCGTGTTTGAAGTTGAATTCATGTCTTCCATCTCGTACAAAGACGACACCTCGACGACACCATAAGATAGCACATGGAAGTTGTGAATGTCACGTGATTCGTACCCAGTGCATTCTAATTTGGCCGAGACAATTTGTGTACCAAATGCGACTACCATGAAGGCCGAAACCTAAACTCGGCGGTTCCACAGGAACCCCGAGTAACTATCCAAAATGAGACGCAAAGTTTTAAAAATATGTTTGTAACAATGCAGCACGATGCTTAAGAGGACGGTAATCCAATGATAAATCTTTGAAGTTGTAGAGAATGAAAAATAGTGAACATGAAAATGAAAGTGAAAGTCAGCATTTGCCAGCTGCAGTATCCCCGTTTACTTTGTAAATAGTTTTAACTATAAATTAAAATTAAGAAAGAGACGGTTTTAGACAAAAATTATGTAGCGATATAGTTTTTTTTTTATACATTCAACAAATTCTTTTTGATAATTGTGACTTTCGGTTGCAGAAATAGCTTTTGAAAGGTGGCATGAAATTCAACAAATTAATATAGAAATGCGAATGCAGCCTTTACACTACTGGAAAATAGACCAGAAAAAATTCTGACTTTGAACGGGTTCGAACCCAAGACCTTTGTGATACCGGTGCAATGCTCTACCAACTGAGCTATCAAAGCCACATGGGGACAGACCCGAGGTGCAGAGATAATTTTCCACTAACAGTAGTTTATTAGAAACTATACAAAATGAGACGCAAAATACAAGGACAACAATACCAACACGATGCTTATAAAGGACGGTAATCCAATAATAAATCTTTGGAAATTGTAGAAAATGAAAAATAGTGAAAATGAAAATGAAAATTGAAAGTCAGCATTTTCACAGACGAGTTATATCACTAAGCCGAGCAGGTCCAGTATCCTAGTTTAGTTTCAAATGCGAATAGTTTTAAATAAGACGGTTTCAGACTACTAGTCCCCCCAAGAAAAAAAATGTACTGATTTTTTTTTACTTCTATCAAAGTAAAAATATATATATCATGATATATATATATATATACTAAGAGTATACGTACGCAGAAATACTCAAAAAACGACTAGTACCTAAGGCTGTAACATATAACAGAAAAAAAGAATGCAACGAAACTATTTGGAAACTCATTTCCCCTGCAGGTTCCCCTCCTTAAAAAAATCCTGGATCCGCCACTGAAGTGACGATGCATTTTCCATTGATTGATTGATAGCTTAATTTGTTTCTGATCCAGATCAAACGGGATTTTTTTTCGTCTGATAATTCACAATTCGTTTGACGAAACAGAGGCAACAGACTTTGAAGGGGAATTTTGACGTTTTCAGTCAGTTGTGCCAGGATACAACTAACATTTTATTTTGGAAAGTTATTTTGTATTGGAAGGTATGGCATCTATGTTTTTATGGGTACTGACTTTCGGTTGTATAAATATCGCATTTATCATATAGCGTGACATCCCAAAGGAGGGACAATTTTTTCAAACTTATAACAATACCAACACGATGCTTAAGAACAATAATCCCATGATAAGTCTTCAAAGTTGTAGAGAATGAAAAATAGTGAAAATGAAAATGATAATTGAAAGTCAGCATTTCAGAAAGTTATATCACTAAGCTGAACAGGCCCAGTCTCTCAGTTTAGTTTTAAAAGCGAATAGTTTTATTAGGAAAAAGACAGTTCACACTAAAAATTTAGTGATTATAGTTTTCTTTGATTACGGCTTTTAGAAGTATACAAGAAATCATGTATAAATCTTCAATACTTCTCGGCTTGATGATGATGTTGACTGTCCAACAATGTCAGGGTGGATTGTTGGCCTATGGAATCTGCCAGACGGGCTGCAATGCATAGTATGGGTTGCTTGTGTGGCTGCTGCAGGTGGAACGGATGGTGTTTCTACAGGAGGAGCTGCTGTACCTGCCACCATCTTGGCATGTAACGCTGCTCAAATTGTTTGTATGGCTGCATGTGTTGCTGCTGGACTTACTCCCACTCCTTAAAGAAGCCTGCTCACTGCCGCCAGCAGTCTAAATCCCTGACCCTGTTTAAGACACTAGAAAGCGAAAATCCATACCCTGTTCAAGACAAATCGGAAAAATAAGGAATAGCAATCTATTTGTAGTTTTTGTCAGAATTACAGCAAGCTTTAAACATTTATTTTAAGATAATAGAGTGATCGCACTTAAACCATGTAACTATATCATAAACTAAATAGTACTATTTAGTTGTCTTTAGTAAATTGTGCATGCTCTACACAAACTAATTTGAATCAATACAAATGAAGCATTAAATACCATCTTGCTAACAGCAGAAACCGTTGCATTGCGACTTCAATGTTCAAAACAAATCGTTAGGATTTAGGCTTTCCTTCAACTTTGGGGCGGAGCTTGCTGCAAATCAGCCAATGACTGAACAAGTTTATGATAAGCTTCACCCCTTTGATCGAAGGAAAGAACAAAATCAAAACTTCAAAACAAAGAAGTCGCGTTTCAACGATTTCCATAGTAAGGTCCACTTTTAGTACAAATTAGCACTACTTACTAGATTTTTGACAGTTGCATGGTGCACTCACTCTGAATATTAGAACTCACACTAGTTTTTAGTGGTATATAAGTTGCACACTTTTAGTGTTAGCATGCACTTTAGTTATTAATAAATAAAACACATTTTATTTAGACTTGTCCTTTTATTTTTTTTGAATAATATTCACATTTCAGCATACATACATATAGTGTATGTTGGGGGATGGAAATCCAGTCCTGCATCCCACCAAACTGGTTGATTTTGTAGAGTTGCAAATGATGTGAACTAATATTCTTGGTTGTCTTTCTCTGGTCTTTCATCAAAATAAGAAGAGGGGAAAACATAGGCAGCAGGACCTGGTTGTTCTGGGTCCATATTGCCAGGGGGCTCAGTAGAACAGATTCTTTCTCCATTTGGTTTTAATGCAAAGTTATATGAAGTTTCATTGTCCAGTGCAAAAGCAATCTTTTCATCAAGATTTTCAGCAGTAATAAAATCCTTGCTTTCTTCCTGTAGAAAATAAATAAATAAATGAGCAATATCAAAAAATGGAAAAAGTATAATTATTACTTAATTATTATTAATTATTTATTGACAAAGTTTRTCACTGAGGTAAGGCAATGTTTCTGATG